CATGACTGATATTAACTTAACTGGCCTACGTTTTCCTATTTTCTACCTCCCTCCCTTCTTGATTACAGGAGTTATATTGACTACTTTTTAGGTTCTAGTAAATTTTGGACATTCAATACCAAATATCACGTATGACCTCTTTTAAGACTCAGGATGAAGTCTCTATTGTTAGAATAAAGGTACAGATAACGGATTGCAAAGATATGGTTACGTACTTTGCTTTGAACGAGATGTGAAACTTCACTAGAGAGGTCTTTTCACATGAGAACAGAAAAAAATACACTTAGCAAAGCATTACTTGTATTTGAAATGCCGTGCATAGCTCCTTACCCCTGAAATCAGTTCTGCTAGCTCCCAGTCCTATTTATATTTTACATGGTCAATAACAATATTCCCCAATTTGACACATGCCTGATGCATGCTATGACTAACTGTTTACATATTTGTGTTCATTCCTGGGGTTTGAACATTGTTGGCAAAGCTGGCATTTACTACTCACTCTTCCATGCCCGTGAGAACATGTTGTTGATGGGCCTTTCTTGTTGTACTAATAAGATATGCTGTTCCGTAGGAATTTCCAGGTGTTTTGACTCAGTTGTAATGATATATGAATTATTATACAATTCACCATCATTTACTCCATTTCTGAATTTCTGAATTTCAAAACACTGAATTATTACTGCTTTTATCTGAAGATTTACTTTTCTAAGAAGATATTTGTATAGCTTAATAAATTTGTTTTTCTTTAAGGTTGGGAACACCTAGCAACTAAAATTTAATTAATATGCATAAATCACAACTAAGTCAGATTTAACTCTTTCACTGCTCCCTGCACCAAGAGGATCAGTGATGTATCAATAGCTCCATGGAGAATTCCTTTGTTGTCATATTATTCCTGAGCACTCTCATATTATTTTTATTTTAACAGATCTGGGAAATGGTTAATACAATGGTAGTCCAAGACTTTCCAGACTTTTACATGTAACTCAAACATTTTGGTGTATTTTTAAAAATCAAAAGAGTAATGTTCAGCTTGCAGAAAGGGAGTCTTCTTAATTTGACTCACTAATCAGACAATTTACACATGCAGGTTGAATCAGCGAAGAGACCTTGCATGTTAAATTAATGTTCAGTAGACCTAATCTTGTAGAATATGATAATTAGGTTGTTAAGGGTGAAGTGTCCACGAATTATAAGATTAGTATAGTTGCATATCGATTATATTAATTATATTAGGTTAACCAGATGAATTAGGCTGGTACGAAAAATGACCTTCTCCATACTGATACCTACCTTTATTTCTCAATCTACCACTAAGCGTAGGTGTGAACCATAGTTTCAAGTTATGCTATCATATATATTTTTTAAATGAAACTGCTAAGGCTGTAGGTGACCAGAAAAGCTGCATTCTAATAGATTAGTTGATGCAACATGCAACCTGTGAGTCCTATCTTGGGCTCAAAATAACCATACACCATCATCGCCAGCCAGACACGCTTCTGGATGCCTTTTTGCACCAGTCAATGAGATGTCCTGCGTTAAAAGGGTAGCATCACAAGAGGCAAATGATTTTCTGTGTTCAGCGAGTGTAAGTGTCATCATGTTGCTACCTTACACTCAAGATCCAGCACTCGGTCTAATTTTACTGCATTACATGCATCTCATCAAAGGCTGACGGACTACAACACTCGCTGTTGCTGCATCATGGGCACGGAATGGCTCATCCTTCCAAACTGCAAGCCTTTCATGTTCTCTGCATTTCCCGTTTACTCGCAGGGACTACCTCCTCAACCCTCCAACACATACATGCTCACAAACTGTTCTTCCATCATACTCGATCCTCCCCTTGTCTGGCCCATCCCACCCACCAGACTGATATCACAATAGCACACGGAAGGACGTACCTGTAGTTCCTGGATTGCTTACCCTTGACATACAGGCCAACCCCCTGTGTAATCTGACAAGCCATTAGGCTGACTGTAATGGCAACCCCTGACTGTCTGTAGCACTCCTTCACCTCATTGCGGTTAGACCCCTTTTTTACTTTCACACATCGCCATGTCTATGAGACCTTGGTGAGGGAGTGAGGGAATTGGATGCTTTAGTTCACAGGTCAGGGTAGGGCAGAGTTCAGGAAGGGGAGGGGGCCTCAAAGGGCCTATAAAGGAGATACCTCTTTCTCTCAACAGTAGTCTGAGCAGTGGGAGAAACAGCAGGCTTCAAACTTGTCACACTCTTCTGTCCACCATGTGAAAAATTGAAAGAGCACTTGAGAGGCCCTTAAGTGTTCAGTAATTGGCCACAAAAGGTACCCTGAACAATTTATAGGAGTTCCCTGCCTGCCCTGCTTATCCCCGGGAGAAACTAACCATGGGTGTGCATGTACACAAGTCAGCAAGATGCCAAGGTAGGTTTAGAAAGTGCTTAAAAAAAGTGTACAAGGATAATGGATTTTATACATAGAGGCGTACAATACAAAACCAAGAATTTATGTGGAATATTTATGTAATTCTGGTTGGCCTTCAACTGGATTATCGTTTCCAATTCTGTGTGCCACACGTTAGGAAGGATGTGAAAGCTTTAGACAGATTGAAGGACTTCTGAAGAAGGGCCCAGACCTGAAACGTCAGCCTTCCTGCTCCTCTGATGCTGCCTGGCCTGCTGTGTTCATCCAGCTCCACACTTTGCTATCTATGAAAGACCTTTGAGTGCTTTCAGGGCTGCAAGCCTCATAAATTGGATACACAGTTATTATTATCCTTGGAGGATTATTGATAGTTGAGGGGAGAATTGATTGGAGTTTTCAATATTTTATTGATTCACAGGATATGGGTGTCACTGGCTCGGCCAGCAGTTTCCCCACATTCCTAATTGCCATTGAGAAGGCACTGGTCGAACTACCTTCTTGGACTGTTGCAGTTTTGAGTGTAGGGACAACCACAGTGCTCTTAGGAAGAGAATTCCAGGACTTCAACTCAGTGACAGTGAATGATCGGTGATATGTTTCCAAGTCAGGATGATGTGGACCTTGGAGGGGAATCTACAGGTGGCGGTGCCCCTATGCATATGTTACAATTATCCTTCCAGCTGACAGACGTCATGGTTTTGGAAACTGCTACTAAAGGAGACTTGGTGAGTTGCTGCAGTGCATCTTGTAGATGGTGCACACTGTTGCTGCTATGTGTCAGTGGCTGTGGAAGTAAATTCTGCAAATTATTGTTGGGTGTGTCCTGGTACACCAAGCTTTTTGAGTGCTGTTGGAATTACACTCATCCAGCCAGGTGAAGAGTATTCTGTCGCACTCCTAATCTGTGTCTTGTAGATGCTGGACCGGCTTTGGAAGTCAGGAGTTTGTGGTGTTTGTTGGAATCATATTATGAGAAGAATGTTCCTTTCAGACATTGTTTTGTCCGCTGCATGTGCAACACCTAGAGTCCCACTGAGCAGTCGCTCATTTTTCTCTGCAATCAAACTAAGTGCTGAAAAATCACATGGGACTTGAAATGTTAACTTTGTTTCTCTCTCTACAGTATCTGCTGGACCTGCTGAGTTTCTCCAGCACTTTCAGTTTTTAATTCAAATCTCCAGCATCAGCAGTATCTTGCTTTTACTTTTTCTCTGAAACTTTTCTGATCATCCTGAATGATTGTATTAAGCAGATTCTGATTAAACAAATCATTAGTCCATACATTGAGTCTATTTCAAACAGTCTATTTTATTGATTAGCTGAGAGTAAAATAAGCCTTATATATTAGCATTAAAGTCACACAGAAATCAAATTGCAAACCGACCATGCAATTGGAAGTAATAATTCAAATGTATAACCAGAGCATATGAAGTTCAATAACGAGATAGTTGTTGGTACAATGTTATAATGTTGGTAAATGGAAGCTCTGGATTTAGATACCAATTTATAAGCTAGTTTAGCCAATCTCAGATGGGTCATTTGGGGAACAAGAGTAACAGGGTGATGTCTAAAAAACAGCATTATGCACGCGTTTGATGCACAGGCCAACGAAAATAATGGAATTAAAATAGGCTGAGAAAACAAGGAAAGCAACTTTTCTGTCCTTCAACATTCTCTTCAAATTCTTTCCGCTGTCTCCTGTTTCTGAAAGGAGCTGAGACAGAATGAGTTATGAGTTAATAGGTCATGTTAACATTCTGATGTCTCACCCAACTGGAAACAGAGAGTTTCACCTCCTTCAGTAGGCTGTCTGACCAGATGGGTCTTACCAAATTTTGTGATTGTCTGGTGTTAACATAATTTCAGCTTTCCTGTGCTTCTAGAAGGAAACTGTTTCAAAGAAGAGTCATCAGACAGCACTGCAACATTATAACCTGGGCTTCAATATTAACTTTGAGTGTGAATTCTTGATGGATGGAGATGCTGAATTCACCTTAATGAACGACCATTAAAGGCAGGAAATCTCCCTGAAAACATTTCTCTGAACTTAACATTGATCCATTTGGATCAATTGTTACCCTGTTCTAATAACTCAGTCAAGACTAGCTGACTCAAAACAGATCAGTGATGTGCCTCAGTATAGCGTTCAATTGTTCTGTGTTTGATTATGTGAGGCTGTTTACTATTGATCTTCATTGTGCTTGATTAGTTAAGCCTAAGTGTGGACTCTGAGAAAAGTGGACAAATTGTATACATTGTTTAGGCAGATGGGACTGATTTAGTTTGGGATTATGGTTGGCATGGACTGGTTGGACTGAAAGGTCGGTTTCCATGCTGTACAACTCTATGATTCTCTATAAGCATGGAACGAACATTTTCAAACAGTATGAAGAATGCCTATTACAAACATAGAAACGGGGACATCTAAGATATAATGTATAAAATACCTTGGACTTACCTGGTGTTCAGAGCTCAACACTAAGCATTTAGACATTGAAAATATTCGAGAACAGTCTTTGAGTAAGGAAGACAAGGTTCATTACTTTGTTACATACCTATACCGTGTGATTGTTGTATGTGAATAGTAACTTACCAGAAGCCAAAAGGAATCCACCTCCTAATTTATAGAGTTTGGCATTCACAAACGGCACTGCACAAACCAACAGAAATCCTCCGACAAGTGCAACAACCACTCCCAGTACTATAAAAACTGTCCAGAAACCTCGATACACTGTATAGGAGAGAACATGAAAGTGAATTAATCCAGCTGTTCATTTAGAGCTATTCATTTAAAATTACCTATCATTAGCTGATATTCTTGAATTGTTTTTGGAGAAACGTAAGAGTGAAGACATGTATCTCATATTTTCTATCATGCACTAGCTCACTCCTTTGTCCCATCTCTGTTACTTCATTCCTCTTTCTTGCTCCGTCTCTCTCTGATTTCCATACAGTTGTCAGAGGGTGACATCTCGCAGATGTGATTAGGCCTCTGGGTCACCTCTTTTTGGGAAGGCCATTTGTATCTTGTGTCACTCAGGCTACATGGGCCGGCAGGTGGGCCTTGCTCAAGATCAAACCACCCAGGGCCGCAAGGTTTGCCAGCCAGGAACTGCCAGCTTTTCTGTAAGCAGGAAAACTACCGGGGAAGTTGTGGCTGTGCAACACTCCCAGATCACCTCTGACTGATGAGGAATTCAGGCACAGATAGGCAATGGTGAAAGGGGCCTGGTGGGAAGCATATCAGAACAGATAGAGATAGCGAGGTTTCAGCAGCAAGGGAAAGGGTGTAACTTTCAGCATTTCTATCCTGCTGAATGCAGGAACCCTCATTCAGGCCTTCAAACGAGGCTCGCTGTCCTCACCTCTCAGAAGCCCAAAGACAAGCACAGCAGGGTCTTCACTTCCTTCTTGGTGACCTCAGCATCATTGGCAGCGGGAGGAGGCCTGAAGTGAGTTTCCTTTCCCCTCTGAGAGCATCAATGGATGGCAGGGCACAAAGTCATACAGGAGCCTTTTCACCACAAATGCAATCGGGGTGGAAGGAGGAAGGTAGCTGAGTCCCCACCCAATATCACACAGCCTGATTAAAGTCTCTCCCATCCCCAGTCGAACTTGTTTTGGGAGAGTGCACATTACCATTTCTCTTTGACTCTCCGTTACTCTTTTCTACACATCTCACTTTCCATTTGCCTCATCTGTTATCATGGAATGGAAACTGAACTGGGCCAGCACGACAACTGCTCGATATTCTGTGGTGTATATCTCAGAACCTGCCCACCATCTACAAAGAATAATTCAAAAGTGTGATAAAATAGCTCCACTTGCCTGGATGGGTAAAGCTCTGACAACACTCAAGAAGCCTGAAACTGTCAAGGACAAAGCAACCCACTTTACAAAGCCATCCTCACCTTTTACCATTCAGTCTCTTTACCACCAGTGCTCAGCAGGCTGTAGCATCCATAAGCTGCACTGCAACAACTCACTAAAGCAATTTCCAAATCCACAACCACTACCATCTAGAAGGGAAAGGGCAGTAGAGACATGGGAACACCACCACCTACAATTAACCCTCCAAGCTACTCACCATTCTGATTTTGGAACAAAATTGCCATTTCTTTACTGTCATGAGATCAAAATCTTGGAACTTCCTCTCATGAATATACCTACAACCTAAGGGGTGTAGCAGTTCAAATGGACAGCATATCAGAACTTGCTGGAACAATTGCATGCGAGCAATTAATGCTGGTCGAAGACAGTGCTGCCCACATCCTGTGACAGAAATAAAACAAAAACTCTGCTTGCCTTTAGCTCAATTGTTTCCTTCATTCATGTCTCACTGCCTCTTTGGACTGGATTGTGCCGGTACATTGTGAGAGTTATGAGATGGAAGGGATGATAACATAATATCAGGATAGAAGCCAAGGATTACCCATCACGTGAGTATATTCGCAGCAGTAGGAATGTGGCTTTTCTCCTCATTAACTAAAGGAGGGAAGCCAATTGATTGACGTATTGAGGGCAATTTTACCATGATGCTGTGATGTTACTCTCATCAGGAAGGCTCCTGCCCCAAGGAGACAGCACCAGCTACATTGTAGTGGCCCCCCAATGGCATCCTGAGTGAGGGAACTTCCTTTACAGAGGCTCCACATCCTGGTGACAATGGCTGGCCTACAGTTCAGAATCTCCCTGCCTGTTCCTGCTTTTTCTCAGTACGGCTCAGGATTCAGCCACCTCCACTGTGTTACTACCTCTTAATTGGCTGTTGCTGCTCCACTAATCATCCACAAGGACCTCAGGACTGGTATTTGGTCCTGGTATTAGAACCTGTGGCGTAACCAGAAAGATTCCAGCCTTTATCTCATTTCTTTCCTCACATACTTTCTGCTTTTTTTCTTTCAGTTATAAGACTATAAGATGTTGTAGCAGAAGCAGGCCATTCAGCCCATTGTGTGTGCTCCACTATTCAAAGAGATAATTGCCGGCCCGATAATCCTCAACTCAACTTTCCTGCTTTTTCCTCATAACCCTTGATTTCCTTACTGATTAAAATTCTGTCAGTGTCAGCCTCAAATATACGTAATGACCCAGCTTCAACAGCCCTCTGTGGTAAAGAATTTTACCAATTCACTACCTTCTGAGAGAAGAAATTCCTCATCATATCTGTCTTAAATGGGTAACCCCTTGTTCTGAGATTATGCTCTCTGGTCCTGGACTCTCTCACAAGGGGAAACAACCTCTCCACATAACCTTGTCAAATCCCCAAAGAATCTTGTATGTTTCAGTAAAGTAGCCTCTTATTTTCCTATATTCCAATGAATACAGGCCAACTTACTCAAGTTCACCTCTTTAGACAGTCCCTTAGACCTTGGTATTAGCTGACTGAATCTTCTCTGGACTGCTTCCAATGCCAGGATATCTTTCCTTAGATAAGGAGTCCAAAAATCTTCCCAGTATTCCATTTATGGTCTGATTAGTGTTTTATATAGTTTCAGCAAAACTTCCCTATTTTTATACACCATTCCCTTTGAAGTAAAGACCAATACTCCATTTGCCTTCCTTATTACCCACTGAACTTGGACTCTAGCTTTTTGTGGTTCATGGATGAAGACTCCCAAATCTCTCTGTTCTGTGGCTTTCTGCCGTTTTTCTCTATTTAAATGTTATTCAGCTCTTCTATTCTTCCTGCCTGAATATCTCGTCTTACATACAGAGGAATCTTGATGTACAGGTCCACAGTTCCATGAAAGTGGCAACAAAAGTGGAATAGGCAGTCAAGAAAGCATATAGCAAGCTTGCTTTCATTGGTCAGGCAGAGAGTACAAAAATTGAAAAGTCATGTGGCAGCTACATAGAACTTTAATTAGGTCATATTTGGAATATTGTGTACAATTCTGATCTCCATTCTACCAGAAGGATATGAAGGCTTTGGAAAGGGTACAAAAAGTGTTTACCAGGATATTCCCTGGTTTGGAAAGTATTAGCTATGAGGAGAAATTGGACAAACTTGCTTATTTTTTCACTTGAACATCGAAGGATGATTGGTGACCTGACAGAAGTTTACAAAGTTACGAGAGAAATGGATAGAATGGATAGTTGGAGTCTTTTCCCCAGGACAGAGATATCAATTGCTAGGGGACATGGGTTTAAAGTAAAAGGGAGAAAGTTTAAAGGAGATGTGAGAGGCAAGTCTTTTACACTGAGGGTAGTAAGTGCCTGGAATGTGCTGCCCGAGGAGGTGGTAGAAGCAGATATAATAGCAACATTTAAGAGTCGTCTTGACAGATATATGAATGGTCAAGACAGAGATAGGAACTGTGTAGGTTCTTAGTTTAGAAAGGCATCATGTGTTGGTGAAGTCTTGATGGGCTGAAAGTCCTGTGCTGTACTGCTCTTTGTATTTTCCTATATTATATTTATTCACATAATCGGTTTATAACCTTTAGCAGACTCGTTATGTTACCCTCACCAATTGCCTTCCCATCTATTTTTAAGTCATCCGCAAACTTGGGAATAATACATTTATTTCCCTCAAAGACGTTAATGTGTCTTATAAATAATTTTGGTCCCAGTGCTGATTCCTGCGGTTCTTACAGAGATCTGGAGAGCTCTTCAAGTCTGGTGGCTGGAGACATTATATATTCTGTCCCTGAAAATAATGTTTCAAAATTCAGGATTAATCCTGAAATTTGTAAAATGAGAAAAGTGAGAAGAATTAATTAGATTCTGAGAGGACAATGTTGACAGTAAGTAAAATAGAAAGGACAATTGAGAGCTTTAAATTTTGCCAAAAGTATTGTTATGCTATTATATAATAATATGGAAAGGAATAGCAGGCAACTTGACAAATACTTAAATGTCTGGGAGATCAAGGAAGAATAGAAGAGGATTGTGAAAACTCAGTGATCATCAGAATACTGTGGGTAAGTGATTGGATAAATCAACCACAAGATAGCTACTAAGCAAAATCAAAAATCACACGACACCAGGTTATAGTCCAACAAGTTTATTTGAAAACACAAGCTCCAAAAGCTTGTGACAGGTTTTCAAATAAACCTGTTGGACTATAACCTGGTGTCGTGTGACTTCTGACCTTGTCCACCCCAGTCCAACACCAGCAATTCCACATTATCCACTAACCAACGAATCAGAGGGACAGACATTATCATGGACTCAACATATCAATCAAGTTCCAAAGAGCAACCAAACTGCCCCCCTTGGCAATAGAGAAAATGTAAGAAAGATGATATAATTGCAAATTAGAACTATGTACTGTTACGTAAATCTAATTATGTTTCAAAACTTACCAGCAGTACTGTCATATGAAGATATAGGTCCCATTGTGATTGGAAAAGGGAAAAGATAGCCATGGACACAGTACTTGGATGGGGGTTGGTTTGCTGCACAATACAAGATAATAAGCAATTAATAACATTCTCCGAAAAATGCTGCAGATTTGTGACTATGGAATAGATATTACTGAGTGGGTGTCTATTTCATTCTTAGCTTCCTTTGCACAGATTGATTTGGCCAGAGTTTACTCATTAACTGAATGGGTTCTTATGGTAGTGTTTTGACTTGGACAACATGGTGACTGTGGCCTCTGAGACAATCAAATTTGAAGAATAACTTGGAATGAACGGATGCACCCAGAAAGCTACCACACTCAAATTAAAGAGTAATTGGACATCAGCCAAAAGAGGTGGTGCGGCAGAAACATCCTTGCTTCTGATTGGCTGCAGATTGAGACAAAAAGAGGTTGCACCCCCTCACAACACAGCAGGAAGGTCACCCATTTTCCCAGTTGAGAATCCAGCCACATTTCGTACTGTCAAGGAAGATATTCGTGCTAGTAGTGAGTTAAGGCCCTTAAACAGCCATTGATCAACCTTTTAAGGTTCTTAATTTGTAGCTTGTTGACAAGGTTGCCAATGGGCCTTCTGGCAATATTGCCCAGCAATATTGCCAAGTTGGCAACAAGGGAATGAGCTTCTTGTCATCTTCTTTACCACTCCCAGGAAGGAAATACTGTGCCCAGTGAGTTCTCACATTGTAATAACATGCATTTATACGTCAACAACTAACAATTAAGGCTTTGGCCTTAAACATTTTCTTTGCAGATGCTGCCTGAACTGATATTTCCAGTATTTTCTGTTTTTATTTCAGATTCCCAGCATCTACAGTATTTTGCTTCAGTTTCACAAAATCACATTATATTGCTTCTTACATAGTTGTTGAATGTTGAAGATTTCTGTGAATAAATTGTCTTCTCCTTTTCGTCTACATTATTGCAGTGTTCACACTTCCGTAGTACTATGACATGCTTTAATAAACCTGAATAAAGGTTACAAAACTCATCAAATCAACACAAACTATTCATTTCAAGGCTTTGATTGATGAGTTGTGGAAAATCAAACATGGTCATTGACCACAGTGGCCTATATTTATCAACTGAGTGTCCATTTTCAGTACAATGTATAACATACATGGGTGCACATCAACATCTGAAATTGATAACAGTGTATTGGCACTACTTACTGAACCAGAAATTCCAGATACTATCATGGGAAATGTCTTCAGTGAACCAGCAACGCCAAATGAAGCCCTCATGGTGAAAGGTGATGGCCAATTTATCGTGTCCTTCGAATGCTTGCCCATTCTACAAAGCAACATAAGAAATCTTACAAATAGGTACTGGGCGGTGAGGAGATTCAGTTCATAAACAAGATGGAAAGCAAAATTGTGTTCTTAACAGTTTAAATTCAAAGAATTCCTGCTACATTTATGTAACTGCAGTCAACTATTAATAACCACGTAAGGACTTCATGTGGGAAGTCGGGACGTACAGCCATTATGACCCCACTGGCTGGCAGCTCTGTTAACATACATGACAGATAGCATGCATGACAGATAAAACTGTACAAATGTTTAAGTGGGAGAGGAGGGGCCAGTTCGCTTGTTCAAGGGCACTCAGTATCTGATCTGGTCAAAAAGCAATGCAGGGATGCCCAATTTAGTACTTCATTCACTGCAGCCTGAATCAAAAGTGTACTGGATAATGCCTACCGATGCAATACTGCTTGTTTTACCTTAGTACCTCAAGACAAATCTCTACCCTGTCAAGTTCTGAATAAGATCATATAATTAATCAGAGTCAATGAGCAAAGGATAAATACATCCTCAGGGACAGGGTCTTGTGGCACAGTGGTGTCTCCAATCCTGGGCAGTTCTGGATTCAAGTCCCACTTGCATTGGATGTGTATCACAACTTGTCTGATCAGGTTGATTTAAAATAATTACGTAAGGGCTCCTCTAACATGACAGCAGTGTCTCTATCTCTGTGTCCGAAGGCCCAGGTTCAAGTCCCACTTGGTCCAGAGGTACGTCATAACACACCTGAACAGGTTGTTTTACAGGTATTGGAAATGACAAATGATAGGTAGCTCATAAGAACAGAAGAAATAAAAACTGAAATAGGCACCATTCCACTTTTAAATCTGTTTGGCCATTCAATAAAGCCTTAGCTGAAATTTTACACTTGCTCTATGTATTCAACCTATCCCCAAATTCTTTGATTCCTAAACAGCCCAAAAGTCTATCAGTCAGAGTCTTGGACATGTCCATTGACTGATTGTCCACAGGAATCTGGGGTAGAGAATTCATCAGGTTCATAGCCCTGAGTGAAGACATTTCTCCTCATCCCAGCCCTCGTCCTGGCCCTATGGCCATTCTAAACTTTCCAGCAAGGAGAAACATCTTCTCACCCCCTGCTTTCTGACAACGTCTCAGAATTTTAAATGTTGATTGGATCATTTCCCATTCTTCTAAATACCAAAGAATGTAGGTTCCTCTCTCTTTGTAGGTCAGCCTCTCATGAACCATAATTTCAACCCCACTCGAACAAGTATATTTTTTTCTGAGGTAAGCAGATCAAAGCAGTACAAAGTATTCCAGATGTACTCTCAGCAAAGCCCTATATTATTGTAACAGGTCTTCTTTAATCTTACACAATGGCTACTTTGCAATAAAGGTTGTATATGAGTCTGAAAGGGGTAATGCTTGATTGGATGCACGAACCAACCACCATGATGATATCATGAAGAATTTAGTAGGAGAGTAAAGTAAAATCTGGTAGGGGATAGTGCTAAGGCTAATTCCTCTCAAGAGTCTTTGTAATACTGTAGAGCCTGTTCTTATACCAAGTAAACTGTTGCAGAGATGGAATAAAACCTTTTGTTTAGACCAGAGGGTGGCTATACACAAACACACACACACACACACACAAAAAATTGTGTACGAAATGAAAGACATGTGGGACAACATGGTGATCAGAATGGAATCTGAAGATTTAATTTGACAGCACCAGTCCCAATGAGACAAACATACTGTGACCCAGAAGTCTTCAAAGAATAGACTCTAAAAACTTTTGCGTTGATACTCATTGAAGAATTAAAAAGTACAATACAGAATGAATTTCAGACTTGACAAGCAGGGCTTCAGAACAAAAGAAACTTAGTGCTCCAAGATTGAAGTGCAAGTTACATAGCAAGGTAATGGTCTGTGGAAATGGTCCTAAGTCTGAGTTTAGTGAAAGAGTGAACAGATTCTGTGTGTCAGAACTAAAAATCCCAGTATAAAAAGGAGTGCCTGTAACAACACAGTAATTCAGGCTGAAAGGGTGAGAATTTTAGATCTAAGTTCTAGCTCAGATTGAGTATTGCTGTCGTAATGTGTGGATGCAACAAAATGGAAATACCAAGGCCAAGAGAATAGTGTTGGAACGGAGAGCCTAGGAAACCATGAACCCTCATTTATAGCAGATAAGAAATTATGGGGCATTTTAAAGAAATGAGAGACTCTGCTATCATATGGAAACTTTCACAGCTTCCGTTAGAGCCACAAAAGTGTGGGAATCCTCCAGTAAAATTTGAAAAGAACAGAAAATCCCTCCAGAACAGAAGGAAATGACAGAAGAACCACAATCATTTCAAAATCAAAATCTTTAAAGAAGATAACACATTTGATCAGGTGAGAAAGCCATGGCATCAGAAAGTATGTTATCAGGAAGATTTAACTTTCAAGGCGGAACAAATAGTACACACATTGGAGTCAGCAATTCTTGAGGTGTGGAAACATTTCTAAACTGGAGACCAAGTCAGAAGTTGAAAAGTAAATCCATTTCTATGCACAGTTAGGAGTATAGTAGATGACGTTAATACATGCCAAGGTGGTAAAATGAACAACAGACGCCTTTGAAGAGATACCAAAAGCCTTTTCCAATTATTTTAATCTCAAGGCAAATAAAATTCTTCAAAGGAAAAGATTTAACAGAAGAATGCAACATCTAGGGGAATCCGTAAGGGATCTTATTAATGATTTAGCAAGGAGCTGTGGCTATGGTGACTTCAAATCAGACCAGACACTAGGGAAAACTATTCAGATGGTGAGTGAATCAGAGGTTTGGAAATGACAAAGATCAAGGTTAAGGTGAACATTTGGTACAGGAGATCTTTGGAATCTATTCAATTCTTATGGTTTAGCACCTCTAAAGACAAATTTGATAAGTTGATGTAGTGGAGAGTAGGACAGAAACCAAGCATTTTGCCAATAATATGGAGCAAAGAAAGGCAACACAAGTATAAACTGAACCCGGGTATTAAAACCAAAGCTTTTATTGTTGAATAGCAATAAGAAAGTGAGATGAACCAGGACTCAGCCACAGAAAAGCAAAAGACTAAAGAACTTCCCATAGAAAACAGTAAATTGGTTGGAAGTTCAATCTATTCTCAGGCATTATCAGTGACCCACACCAAAAATGTTAACACACTGTCATTTATGTCATTATGCATCTCACAAATTTCAAGTTCAACACAGGAGCAAGAGCTATAATAATATCATATTATGAGCCTCACTTAATAAAGCCCAATTTACAGCTGACAGATTAATGCTCTTCCTTAGTGTCAAGCTTGTTGAGTGTTATTGGAGCTGCGCTCATCCAGGCAAGTGGGGACTATTTCATCACACTCCTGACTTGTGCCTTGTAGACAGTGGACAGACTTTCGCAGTTGGGAGGTGAGTTACATACTGAATTCCCAGCCTCTCATCTCCTCTTGTAGTCACAGTAATTATATGGCCAGTCCAGTTCAGTTTCCAGTCAACAGTAACAGTCAGGATGTTGACAATGCAGGATTTCCACCAACGGTCACATCATTGAGTATCAGTGATGATTAGATTTTCTTTTGTTGGATATTCTCATTGCCATGATGTTGTCCAGGTCTTGCCACATTTAGACCTCTTCAATCATCAGTGAACATCCCTACTTCTCACTTCATGATGATGAAGCAGCACACATCCCTTTCAAATCCAGAGATTTCAAACTTTCTGCAAAAGTCTCCAATTGTTATGACCTGAGCTGATATTGTGAATGGACAGATTGCATACTAAAATTTGGATTGTAAAATCATTTTTTTATAGTTTTAACAAAATGAACTTTTATTGAAACATATGGTGTTGCAGATTTGTTTCTAATAGTAAAAGTTTATTGCGCAAAGAAATCCCAACAGCACTCCTTTACAGTACTCACATCAGACAGAATTCCCTTTTCTATCACAGTGTGGCTCAACTGTAGCTTCAATTCTGCCATCTCGAAAATCTGGCAGCATCTTACTTGAGTCTTCATACAACAAAGCTTAAACATTTTCAGCTTCAGGGTTTTAACAAACCACTTTTGGTCTGGAACTAATGAACTAAATGCCTTACCCTGAGGTAACCTGTTTCTTAACACTTCTAAGCTATCATCTTTTCTCAGCACAACTGCCTTACACATTCATCCACAGCCAAACCTCTCCAAATTGTAACTAAAGTGTTTTTCCAAGCTGCAGGTGTTTCCCATAAGCTAAAGAAAAAAAAACCCCTCTGCAACTTCTTAACTGAAACCTGTTGTATTATGCTGTTTATTTTATTTGTTCATAAAAATTAGCCCAAGTAAATAAATTCCCATTAGCTTCCTAGAACTCTCTTTCATGATTTTTATTTAAATAAATCAGTGTGGTTACAGAAATACTGACAAGTGAATTATTAAACCCCTCCCTAGACACAGATCAAGCCCAATCAAAATCCAATCTTCAAAATAATTGATATTAAAATATATAGAAACCATTATGGTTTTTGTTAAGACTTTTGATATTACACCAGTGGGTAACCACCCTTGCACGTAAAGAATCTACACACTTCAAAAATACAAATGGCAGCACATAAAAATAAAGACTTAATATCTCCTTTGTGGTCAGTCAAATATGTAAGGAACAGAGTCTTGTGCAGGAGAAAGGGGAGCAAAAGAATTTTTTTTTATTGTTAACCTGGGACAGTTACAGAACAAGTCAATCCAGAAAAGTGTGGCAACTAGCTTCTTTGTGGTTTCACGTTGCACAACTTTACATCTGTGATGCATTTTCAATCCTGGAAATGCTTTTGTTACCAAGCTGCTTTTTCAAACCCTAGAGGTTCTTTCACACGAACCTGGCATCTCCCCATCTCCATGTGCTGTTTACAGCGCACATTTTTTTTGTGCCTTAAAGCTGTCCAAAGTGTAAATGAGGAATGGGTCATGAAATTTCCAACATTCAACGTTTCAGCTATCCCTATCGACAGGAGAAATTGCCTTCTAAGGCAATTTTATCGTATACGCATTACACAGTTCTGTTACTGCCACTTTGTGAGCAATAAGGATTTAGCATATCAATGGAACATTTCAAATTACAATTGGACCAGTAAAAAGAAATTGGTTAAGACAATAGGTAATATGAGATTTGATGAGGGGTAAGAAGTGTTAAAACATATTAGCGGTCAAAGACTGGTTGGCCAACGTAGCCACTAAATGGGTGCTGTGCCTAATATGAAACACTTGTTTAGATGTCTGGATTTACCAAGTAATTTTCCAGTTAGTTGGTAATTATCATGATTTGAACCTGCCTGCAGGACCTGAAACTGTCAATTAACTGCAAGTATAGCACACTCAAGCACAGATTAGTCACAGGTTTCCTGGACATGGAGCTGTGACCTACACTCACTATGCCACTGAGACTGTTAGAGTATGATACTGTAGTTAGGAGTAGAAGGATGTCTGTGTGGTGTAAAGAGAAGGTGACAATATTCTCTGACATGACACCGACAGAGAAGGTGTTGAAGAGGTGGGAAGGAGTTCATAAAAGCAACTGATGGAGAAGTACGTGGGAGAGGATCTTGGTGTGATGACAGCCAAAACAGGATATTGCTCCAGTATTCTCTCAGGCAAAAAAATAGAACTTAACAGGCTGTGACAGGACATGACCAAAGAAAGGCCTTGTGTGGTGTTTGTTTCGCTATTTAGGGAAGAAAAATAGTTGTTCATTGGTAAATTAGTAATGAGATTTAGGATATATTTTAGAATGGAGAGGTTAGAGAATTGTATTTCGTGATTTACAATTTACAATTCTCAAGAAGGATTTGATAAATCGTTGAATAAAAATAGTACATTTGGAAAGGACAAGGAAATTAAATTAAGTGCATATTTTTATGGTGAGTGGGCGTTCACCTGATTAACTGTATGGCCTCCTTTGCAATGCCCTTCATACTAATCCCAGCTGAGTACCATACTGAATGAATAATATAAAATTATCTACTCATTTTAGATATCAAGTTATCAGAATATAGACTAGCAATATAATTATAAAACTAGTTGGCTTTTCATGTGCTTTCTCCATGGTGAGTAAAATCAATATTCAGGTCAAATAGGACTAAGGGAATGGGAAAATCAAATCCGTGCAAGGAGAGGGTCTGTGGGTGGAGGGTGATAATGAAAAAGATTGGAGCCCTGTGGAAGTTGGAGGTGAAAACAGGGAGAAAGAAAATTCCCTCTAAGTTGCAGGGTCAAGCAGGTGTGCAACAAGATGGAAGTTACCTCATCAGCCGGAGGTATTTGGAATCTTCAATTTACTGCCCCAGTGCATAAAATTAAAAAAAAAAGACACCTGCCCCTAAATGAAGTAGCTGCACACAAGATAAATAAATTAGAGTGTACTTTGGTGTGGTGGTCAATATTCTTACTAGATGTTGAGAGGCCAATGTTATAGGTTGCAACTTTGCTTCATTTGGGTAAACATCTCTGAACACGGATGAAACACTGAAGAAAATTCTTTCTCCTGAGCATGATCGCTTGGTTCTATCAACATGGAGAGCAGTTACTGCAACGTCCAAGCCAGCTTTTCGAATTGAACAGTTGTATAACTCTAACCTAAGTAACAATAATATACTTCTGAAGAGCTGAGAACTCCATCAAGAATTAAAGTATGTTTGGGAATTATTGCCAGGAGTGACCAGTCATCATCTGATTATTAGTTAGAGAAAGAGAACAGGGGCCTGGGTAGTTATTCAGATTGGAGCTGGAAACCAGTGTTCCACAGAGTTTATGATGATTTGGACTTCGGAAAAAAAATTCAATTTTCAGAATTCACAGTGTGGATTACAGCTAACACTGAGGAATGATGGTACAGAACACAGGAAGACTTTAGAAACATTGTAAATTAGGCAATTAAGTGGCAAATAAACTTTAACATTGGTAAGATGTGAGGTGTTGCATTTTGATCAGAAAGAAAAGAGAAACCTACAAGTTAGAAAACAAGCAATTGAATGGAATAGAAGAGCAAAGAGCTCTGGGGATGCAGAAGAACAAATAGTAAAAGAACAGGTAGATTAATTCAAGTGTTAAGGTAATTGATGTATTTCTAGGAATATAGATTTCAAAGTTAGTGTTAATGCGCATAGGAACTTGGTTAAGCTCACACTTACGTTACTGTGTGCAATGTTTGTCTACATATTATAGAAATGACAGAGAAGCATTCAAAAAAGTGCAAAATAAATTGACAAAGATTGCATTAGAACTTTGCACGTATTAAGATTCAACAGATAGAGTATATGTATATATTTTTATTCATTCATGTGATGAGGGCATCACTGACCAGGCAACATTTATTGCCCATCCCTAATTGCTCAGAGGGCAGTTAAGAGTCAACCACATTTCTGTGGGTCTGGAGTCAAATGTAGGCCAGACTAGGTAAGGATGGCAGTTTCCTTCCCTAAAGGACATTAGCAAGTAGGATGGGTTTTTACAGCCATTGACGGTCATCATTAGATTATTAATTCCAAATATTTATTGAATTGTTGTGGCAGGATTTGAACCTAGGCCCCCAGAACATTATTTGGATCTCTGGATTAACAGTCCAGCAATAATACCACTCAGCCATTGCCTCCCCTGATAATGATCTAGCGGAGGTCTGAAAATCATGAATGGGTTGGATGGGGAACTGAACATGGACTGAATATTTCCACTTGTGGAAGATTTTAAAAACTGGAAGCCATGAGCAAAAAATAGAGACTCAAAAGTCCAATAGGGAATGAGACATTTCTAAGAATGGATGAAAATTGTTACCTTAGAAAGTAGTTGAGGCAAATAATTTAAATGCTTTGAAAAGGAAATTAGATGAGTACATTAGAGAAAAGGGAATAAACAGCTATACTGAGAGGCTAAGGCGAAGAAGATGGAATGTGAGGAGAATCATGGGGATAGAAACACCACCACAGATTTATTGGCCCCAATGGTCTGGTTCCATACCGTACATCCTATGTAAATTTTATTCAGTTTAAGCATTAGGCTGTACATAGTTCAGGAAAGGATTCCAGATGTAACAGTGCAATCCACATTTGGCACTCATCTCAAAACCATTTCGTTCCACTGCAGCTGCAATCATTGGTTTGTGGACCTAATTTCTGACCTTTGGAAACCATTCATGGTTTCCAATTTCCAAAACAACAAATGAAGTCCCATTAAAAATCTACTCGAAATTAGGAGATGTATCAACTTACCTAAAAAATTAGCTGGGGTTTGTATATACCAAATATGCTTTACCCAATGCCCCAGCTGCTTTCAGTAGCTCTACATCTGGTAAAGTACTTTCACAAGAACTGAATCTGTGTGATTACTGCGTTTATTGCCAATTCTTGTCACCCTATATTGCATAATCTGCTAGAATACTATCCAACTGTAGGGGATTAATCTGGAGAATTAACAATGAGTTAGTAACAATTAAACTGTATTTATAACATTTTTCATGTTGCCGTCAGTGTTACACTGACCTGGTGCTACTGAAACTATAGAGAAGATTGACATTTTTTTTATATACTTCACAGGCATTCCTATTGCATTATGTTTCACATGCTACAATAATTCCATTATAAAATAGTTATCCAGGTCTCAGAAAAGAAAGAGGAACACCCCAAATTACAGCCTAGGGTAGACATGCACAAGTCTACCTTTTATAAATACCTTTCTAAGGAAATGCTGAATCACTCTTACAACATTTTAAAGATTTTCCCACAAGTGTTCTTACTCATTGCATTTTTAATTGTTGAGTTCTTGGCTATTTTTTTGACGTGCCTTTATATTTGTCTTCAGGAAATTAAAAACAATCACAGGAATTAAAACAGCTTCCATATTTGCCAATCATAGACCACAGTAGAATTGCTAGCTCAATATTGAACAAAACACTGAAATCAGCAAGTTCAGATCTCAAACATTTACTGAAGGAAATATCAAATCTGGAGACCATCAGTTTACGATACACCATAATGGTGCTTAAAGTGGCCATCCCTCGTTGTACGAGCATGTGAAAATGAGGTTGATTTACCCCATTGTGCCATTCTATAATTGTAGTCCCACCTCCTTCATTATGCTTTGTACAGTTGTCATGATTTTGCTGTCTGACCATTGGGCTTAGTGACTTTAAACACAACTTGAAAAACTGAAAACCTCAAAACTCACCAGTGTGGCATCTAACAGCTTGGACATGGCATTCTCAGCACGGTGTTCATACACTTCACAATTCTCAGTCGCTAGGAGCCAGTAATCCGTCCCAAATGCCACTAAAAACAGAAGCAGCCCAATAGCTCCGACAAGTCCTGCTACACAGGCAATTACACTGACTTTCATGGTCAAGTTAAACTTTGTGCGTGGAGTAAAGTTTTTAACTAGAAGATCTGAGTGTGTATGTGAGAATGAGGTGGCTATTTTAAGAGACAGATCAAATTATTCAGTAACTGGTGTGCATTTCAAAGGGGCATGGCCCAACAACTATTAAAATAGATGACCTTGCCAGATAAATATTTGAAATAAAGAAAAAGTGTGACCATTTCTACAACAAGGGATTACTTTGTATAATATAACTGAAATGCTTCCTTTAAAGTTCATGCTCTAGAGGTATTTTGAAAGCTCGAGACAACAATAGTGAGGAAAACTGGTCTAGGTTATATAGAATGGAATATTTCATGAATACCAGTACTGCAAGCCAGTTATCTGGTTCCCATGTGTGATGGATCATAGTGAAATAATCCAGCATAGCAAATGCTTCAGATAACTGTGACCCTCCCCTAAGATTTAATACGAGAGTGTAACTTATATGAGGAGTAATAGGAATGCTAAGGCAGCCCAAACTAAAGACTGGGAGTGATTATGAGCTGCATTATTCAATGAACATATAACAGACTCGTTTCAAACTCCTTTCTGCATTGCTTGTTTGGACAATATAAGTAATTTGTTCAATGTGAATTTTCCCCAGTTTTAAAATAGCATAGAGAGAAATTTGGTATACGCCTCCTCAATATTCCTACAATAAGATGTTTAATGTTTTGCCAGTTTAAATCTCCAACAAATAAAGCTTACTCAACAGCAAAACAAGCCAGTACCAAAACATGCCTTCAGCATAGAGAAGGAAATTGAGTTCCTTCCACTGCTCTGTGAGAAAGAGACAACTGTTGTTTTCCACTCATTCATGGGATGAGGGCATCACTGGCTAGAGCAGTGTTTATTGCCTGTCACCAATTACCCAAAGAGTCAACCACATTGCTGTGACTCTGGAGTCACATGTGCACCAGACCAGGTAAGGATGACAGTTTACTTCCCTAAAGGACATGAATAAATCAGATGGGCTTTTCCCAACAATTGACAATGGACTCATGGTCATCATCAAGCTTTTAATTCCAGATTTTTATTGAATTTAAATTCCACCATCTCCCATGGCAAGATTCGCATCCCGGTCCCCAGAACATTAGCTGGGTCTCTGGATTAGCAGTCCAGTGATAATACCATGAGGCCTCACCTCTCCTTATGCCTGTAATGAATCAGGAAAATAGGGCTGATGCTGAGATTCTGACTCAAAGTGTCTGCGCATGAGGGTTTCACGACAGTTAGGTTTAGGACAGGATTTGCTCCTAGGTGACTTTTTTATGCCCCAAAGGGGTTTAGATGACAAGAGACATGTTCTACCCTCGTTACTGTCAAGTACTCTCAACTATTTTACTCTACCTGTTAGGACGACGGCAAATACATGAAGAAATACAGCTTCTGAGTTGCCAGTGTAAATGTGATGGATGTACAATTTTAGTTAGCTTGACAGAAAACTACTCCAAATCTTGAAATGTCTAATTCAAAGACAAAATAACGTATAATGTTTTCAAGCTGTACTGTTACATTAGTTTCATTCCAATCATTTTGGGAAGGAAACTGGGCAGTGGGGTGCCTGTCTTTTTCGGCACAGAGTTAAAAAGAATGACATCCAAGATGTGTGTCTATGCTTCCAACAGGAAAGGTGCCATTTGTGATCTTGGATGGTTTACACTCATGTAATGCCCACTGCAAGCATGCATCATATACAGAATAACATGAGTCCATGTTCAGTGCTGATTCAATGCCATTTTCACACCCCAGATCACCTTGTCTTCAATCTGCGCAACTCAACATGATGTTAAATAGCATGTAGGTAGCCCACCAGCACAATATCAAGACATTGTGAATCATGCTCTTTTGTAGATTGGTTGCTTGAAATATTCTTCTCGTAACTTAGATGGGGTGGAATTTGCTAAATGTGTTCAGGAAAGTTTCCTCAAACAGTATATAGAGGGTCCTACTTGGGAAGGGGCAAAACCCGACCTACTCTTGGGACGTAGGGCAGGACAGGTGACTGAGCTGACAGTGGGGGAGCACTTTGGGACCAGTGACCATAATTCTATCAATTTTAAAATAGTTATGGAGAAGGACAAAACTGGTCCACAGGTTCAAGTCTAAATTGGGGCAAGGTGAATTTTGATGGAATTAGACTGAAGCTTGCAGGGGTTAATTGGAATAGTTTGTTTGCAGGCAAATGGACCTCTGACAAGTGGGAGGCCTTTAAAAAGTGTGAGAGTTTAAGATTTTTATGTTCCTGTGAGAGTGAGAGGTAAGGTTGGCAGGAGTAGGGAACCCTGGATGACAAGACATATTGAGGCTTTGACCAGAAAAAAGAAGGTGGCATGGCTCAGGAACAGACAGCTGGGATCAAGGAAATCCCTGGAGGTATATAGGGGATACAGGAGTTTACTGAAGAAGGTAGTCAGGATAGCACTGGCTGAGAAGATCATGTTGAATCCAAAGAGATTCTTTAAGTATATTAAAGGAAAAAGAATAACTAGAGAGAGAATAGGACCCCTCAAGGATCAAAGTGGACATACATGTGTGGAACCAGAGGAGATGGGCGAGATCCTCAACGAATATTTCTCCTCTGTATTTAGCGTGGAGAAAGACATGAAGACTTGGGAATTTGAGGCAATATCTTGGGGACAATCCTTATTACAGGTGTTGGAAGCATTAGACTTTATGAATGTGGATAAATCTCCTGGTCTTGATCAGATATATCCAAGAACCCTGCAAGAGGTGAGAGAATAAATTATGGGGATCCTGGCTGTTATATTTGCATCATCATTAGCCATGGGTGAGGTCCCAGAAGACTGGAGGGTAGCGAATGTTGTACCCTTATTCAAGAAGGGCTGCTAAGAAAAACGTGGGAAGTATAGATCAGTAAGCATCTGTGGTAGGTAAGATATTGAGAAGATTCTGAGGGATAAGATATACATGCATTTAGAAAGACAGGGTTTGATTAGGAGGAGACAGCATGGCTTTGTGCGTGGGAGATCATGCCTCACAAACTTGTTAGATTTCTTTATGAAGTGACCAGGAAGGTTGATGAGGGCAGGGCGGTAGAAGTAATTTATATGGATTTCAGCAAGGCCTTTGATAAGGCTCCACCTGGTAGGCTGCTCTGGATGGTTAGATCACATGGAATCCAGGGAGAGCTGGCAAACTGAATACACATTTGGCTTGATGGTAGGAAAGAGAGGTTAATAGTAGAAGGATGCTTGTCGGACTGGAGTCGTCTGAATAATGGTGTGGCTCAGGAGTCAGTGCTGGGCTCATTGCTGTTTGTTATCTATAGCAATGATTTCGATGAGAATGTACAAGGCATGATTAGTAAGTTTGCGGATGACACTAAAATAGGTGATATCATGGACTGTGAGGAAGGTTATCAGAAATTGCAGCAGGATCTTGATCAGCCCGGGAAGTGAGCTGAGAAATGGCAAATAGAGCTTAATATAGATAAGTGTGAGGTGTTGCATTTTGGAAAGTCAAATCAAGGTCGGACTTTTATGGTGAATGGTAGGACCTTAAGCAGTGTAGCGGAACAGAGGGACCTTGGAGTTCAGGTGCACGGTTCTCTGAAAGTGGAGTCACAGGTAGACAGGGCAGTGAAGAAGTCTTTTGGCACACTGGCCTTCATTGGTCAGGGCATTGAGTATAGAAGTTAGCAAGTTATGTTGCAGTTGTACAGGGCGTCAAAAGGCGTTTGGATGAATACATGGATAGGAAAGGTTTAGAAGGATATGGGCCAAGTGCAGTGAAATGGGGTTAGCATGGATGGACATCTTGGTCAGCATGGACCAGTTTGGGCCAAGGAGTCTGTCTTCGTGCTGTAGGACTCTATGACTCTATAACTGATTAAATTGTATGTAGTTTTGGAACTTCTGTTCATTTACCCAACATTTCAATAGTCTGCAGGAAACAGTCCGACTGGAGCTAAAACATTTTTTGTTCATTTGAGAATCTGTGCTAGCATAAGTTGTTTCAGACAAAGGTAGGCTGTCGGATTTCTGCTTGTACCAAACTAGATGAAAACCTACTATAGATCACCTTCTCTATTCTAAAGGATATGGAGCCATCCTGTTCAGTCTCCACTGATAAGTATCATCTCTTAGTTCTAAATTTCTCTAGCTTCTTTTTCAGTATGTCTATATACTTTTTAAGAATTAGAAGATCTATCTTGAAGATAATTTGCCTCAGCCATTTTGCAAATTTATTAATGTCATTCTGTATTTTGGCACACTTTGAATTAACTACAGCCCCCAATTTGATGTTCCCCCAAAATTTTGAAATTATATATCCAATTCCTGAGTGCAGATTGTTAATGCAAATAACGAATAATAATGATGCTTGTGGAAAATTATTTCTCCTCATTTCCACTAACTACCTTTGGTCACTTTTTTGCTTTCTAATTTGCAACCAATTTATTATCCAGTCTGCTAATTGTGTCCTGCCTTTGCATTCTGATCCTTGTCATAAATCTACCTTGAGAAAGGTCTTGTGAAAATCTAAATATATTGGGCAGAATATTAACTGTACAGACCCACAGAGAGACTAATTGAAGCAACAGAGAACTATAACCATATTGACCATAAGTCCCAATGATTGGCTAATCAAATTAAAAAAATGTTTCTCTCATAGTTCCAAATGAACTGAATATAGACCAAAGTCAAAGAGCCTTCACCTGCAAATGTTTACTGTCAGTTGTTGATTGGGCAACATTTGATGAACAAATCAGAGTGTGCTAATAGCTACACTAACAATTACTTCAATATAATCAGTCAAGCTCATAACATGGTTTTCTTATATTTGCTAGAATTGGCATTCATACACAAGGACACGTTCTCTGCAGACAAAAGGAATATGTTAAAACCATTATTGGCTGGAAGCATGGGGAGCCTATAATTCATTGTTCCTTTCTACATTGCAATTCCTTGGCCAATCAGCATTCACTTGCCAACGTGTCATTGTGATTGTTTGGAATT